TGGAGTCAGTGGGGCCAGGGCCCAGCCGGTATCAGGGGGGCGCAGCTGCACTGGAGTCGATGGCAGGTGTCAATCGGCCCTTGCTGAGAGCGACACCGGCTCACACCCGCTGGGGATCTCTTTGGGGTTTGTGAGGTGGGAAAACCCACCGGGGAACTAAAATCTGCAGCGATCCCGGGGAGACGCAGTCCCCGAGCAGCGTGAAATGTCTGTAGCCAGCGGGGACCAGGGACCGAACTGGGGCAGCGCGGTGGATGAGGGCAGGGCCGGTGGAAGGATGTTTTACGCCCTAGGCGAAACTTCCACCTTGCGCCCGTCCCCGAGCCCCCGCCCTGAGGCCAATCAGCTTAGGCGCCGCAAGCCTGGGAGGCGGGAGAAGTGAAGCAGCGACGGTGTGCTCGGGGAGGAGGCGGGGCAGGGGTGAGCTGGGGCGGGGAGTTCCCCTGCGTGCCGCCCCCCTTGCTGCAGGCGGCCCTCCCCACGCTCCACTGCCCCAGCTCCCTCCACCTAAATGCCAGCAGCGACCGGGGCGGCCGAAGATCCGGCCGCTGCGGTTGCTGCCGAAGAAAATGGCGCCCCCCAAATCCTAGCGCCCTAGGCGACCGCCTAGGATGCCTAAATGGTTGCACCGGCCCCGGATGAGGGACCCCAGGGCGCTGTACCCGGAGCTTCCCCACAGAGCCCAGGAGAAGGTGAGGGAGGGACAAATCCAGGTGGCTCATGTTCTCTCTCCGTCCCCAGGGGCCTGTCTGCAGTGTGAGCGTTGTGAAGAAGAAGGACCCAGCTGCACGGGGAGCCTACAGACCTGCACTGCTGGGCAAAACTCTTGTGGCGTCGTTCTAACAGAATTGACACTCGGTGGGTGAGAGGGACCCGACCCAACGCGGGTCAGGGAACAGTCTGGGGAGCCAGGACTCCTGGGTTCTATCCTAATCTCAGCTCCAGGAAAGGAGTGGGGTGGGTGGGTCTGAGCAGCGGGTAAGGAGCCAGGACGCCTGGGTTCTATTGCAGACCCTGTGGCTAGCTCCCCAATGGGGCCTTCGGCTCAGCACTGCGATGCCAAACCCCCAGGCGACTCGCCAGCCAGTGGGCCAGGGCCCGGCTCCCTGTACGGTGCATGGGGAGAAGGAGGCACCTGAGGAGGGGATGCACCAGAGGCCACTGAGTGGGAGCCACCTAAGCCAGCCAATAGGAAATGTCGAGGAAAGGGGAGTGACCTAAGCCTTGTCCCTTACCCAGAGTTTGGCCACTAAGACCCACCTGCACAGAAACGCCCAGCTCTGCTTGGGGTCCACAGCCCGGAGCCCCTCGCTGGGCGTCCGATATCTGAACCGGGTCAGCCCTTCCTTGTCAATGCCAGGAGGAGGGGCTGCCAGGAGACCCCAGTGGCTTGGCACTGAACTGGGCCCTGGGGGAGGCAAGTTCAAATCCCCACTCGGCCCGAATTGGGAACTTCAGCCCAGATCTTTCCCCACCTATGGTCGTGCCCGGCCTCCGGGCGGGTCTCCGTACGTCTCTCCTATTGAAGCCGCCCCACATTGTATGAAATAGTTAAACATTCCACTGGGAGCATCTGACCCACTGGACTCCTGGGTATACGGGGGGGAGCAACTGCCCCCCCCGCCCCTCCCCATCTCCTCCCCCGGCTGGGCTTTGTGCAGAGCCTGATCCGGTGGGTGTGCTCCAAGGGCATCTCCTGTGTCAGGCCCCGCAGGTGATATCAGCAGGGAAACAATGAGTCTGTGAATCCCGCCACGGCTAAGGGGTGAGCTGGACGCCTGGTGTTGGGATTTCAGCAGCCCAGCATGTACCCCCTGGTGGGAACTTTGGCAGGAGATTCGCGGCAGCTGAGTGGGGAGCAGGACGATCTACAGGCTGGGTTTAGGTGCTGAAATTGCTTTCTTTAGCCCTGCGGGACTTCGAATGAGTCACTTCCCCTCCCCATGCCTCAGTTTCCCCATGGGTAGAGGCGCGCTAATGGCACATGGGCATCATTGTGAAGTGGGTGTCAATGGGTTGGGAATGGATGGGGGGAAAATCTCTGTCTTCTCCTGTGCAGGGGGAGAGAAGACCCAGACCATTATCAAGGGCTGTGCGACATCCAGCCAATGTAACACAAGGTTCGTCTCGACAAATTTTGGGAAGGGAATGATGACAAGGACGAGCATCGCCTGCTGCCAGACGGACTCCTGCACACCGACGCCTGTTAAAGGTACATCTCCCATCTCCTGCACCTCCTGCTGCCTGGAACCTGCCCCACATTAACTTCCTGAGACTGGTCCTCCCACCCTGCAGGGGGCGCCCCATTGAATAACACTGAGCCCCTGGCTGGGTGGAGTTTAGTGGGCGGGGCTCTAGGCTGCCCCCAGGTGTGAACCCAGCTGACCTCACCCAGGGCAGGGTCCAGGGCTCCCTCCTGCAAACCTCTCCCCTGCCCCTGCTGCCCCCGGTGTCCCCAGAGCTACAGCTCCCCCTGCAGGGGGCGCCCAGGGCTGAGCTGTGCTGCCCCCAGCTGCTCTCCCTGCCCCGACCCCTCTTGGGGCTCGTCCCCCGAGCTGACTGCGTTTGCTCCCCTTCTTCCCAGTGCCCCCGGCTGACACCAAACCCAACGGCCGGCGCTGCCCAGCCTGCTACGCTCCGTCCTCTCAGCAGTGCCGTGAAGAGACCATACAGTGTACTGGAGCCGAGACCCAATGTATGGACATCGCCGGGCCCCCAAAATCTGGTAACTTCCATTCATTTGTTCTGGGGGTATTTTTCCTTTGCTGTCCCGCGCCCCCAAGGGCAGAAGCGAGATGCTGCGTGTCGTCCGCTAGATAAAGGTATCGGCTGCAGATCAGGACACCTGGGTTCTGTTCCCAGCGCTGGCCTCTGGTGTGACCCTGGCCCAGTGTCTTCCCCGCCCTGTGCCTCTGGTTCTCCTCCATCCATTGCCTGTCTATAGTTTAGTCTCTAAGGTCTCCGTGGCAGGGACTGGTTTAATATTGGGAGACCCAGTCGTGCCGGGCACTGAACAGACCCCCAGCGAAGATAAGGGACCCATACTGTGCTGGGCGCTAAAGACTTATAGGGAGATATAGCCCATGCCCCAAAGAGCCTGCAACTGTAACCCACCCACCTCCTCGGTGTGGTGTCCTGTCCACTGTAGTGGCACCCAAACCACTTAGCGAGAAGGAGTTTGCTTAACAGCCAGTTGGCTTTTGCCTCATGCACTAAGCTCCAGAGGTCCCCGGTTCGATCCTGCCCGCCAACACCTGGCATCTGTCGGCGTTACACAATCTCTGTAGGCATAGTGGGGATCATTCTCCTAGTTTCAGAGACTGGGAAACGGAGGCACAGAGTAGTGACGTGACTTGCCCAAGGTCACACAGGAAGGCTGTGGCAGAGCTAGGAATTGACCCCAATTTTGCAGGATCCCATCATGATGCCTTAACTCATTATGAAGCCACCCTTCATAAAGATCCCAGCGCTGCCACCAACAGGGAGCTGCTACTTTGCAGCATGAGTGGTGTGGCTAATACAGGCCATATCCAATCTCGGTATCCTCAGTGTGCTCTAGATCACGGCTGCAAGTGACTTATTCAAGGACACACAGTGAGTCTGTGTCACAGTAAAGGAGAAGGGGGAGACATGCTGGGGGCAGCAGAGCCAAAGGGGAGGCGGTGGGGGGCCTCGGCGGGGCTCAGAGGGGCAGAGCTGAGGAGGGGCAGGTTGTTGTGTCCTGGTCCAGTTCAAGGAATGGATCGGCACCCCTCACACTGATCACCTCCTTTCCTCCCCCACATGCAGGTGGATCTGCCACGAAGACCATCATGAAGGGCTGTGGTACTCAGTATGTCTGTGACCAAATAAATGAGGGTTCTGGGACCTTCGCAGGGATCAAAGCAGAGGTAACCACGGCCAGATGCTCACCAGCCACCAGCGCGGCCGGCACAGCTCTGGGACCAGCTGGGCTCCTCTTCCCAGCCCTCGCTGGGCTCCTCCTGCTGAAGTTTCTCTCCTGATTTCCCACTCGGTGCAATGGCCACGCCACACCCAATAACACCCCGGCCGCCTGCATTAGCCCCTCTCGGCAGCCGCTCTCCCCTCTCAGGGGCTCTGGGCTCCCGCCTGGATTCGCTTCCCCTTTATATTGTTCCGCTTAATAAAACAAACTGGAGACCAAAGTCTTTAGAAATCTGTGGGGGGAAATTTCAATTCTCATGGGCGGGGCTGTCAAGAAGCCAATTAGTCAGTGACCCCTAGTGGTGAAATGAGGCAGCACAGGCCAGGAGCTACAATCCCCGGGGGGACCACAGGCTCAGTCCGGGTCCAGCAGACACAGTAAAGAACTTTCCTTTAGAGTCATCACAGCCAAGTCCAGCCTCTCCTGCCCTCGGCAGCGCCCCCTACAGCAGGTCCACCTGAATTACAGGCCACTTTGGAAACTGTTGGCCAAACCTGCGAGGGAGATTGTGTGGCCCACCTGGGAACAGAAGCCTGGTCTCCAAAGCCCTGACCCAACACGCAAGCACATGCTTAACTGTAAGCACATGAGCATTTGGGGCTAAGTCAGGTGCTTAACAGTAAGCACCGTGCTTCAGCGCCTTGGTGAATCGGGGCCTGTGGTAGCAGGCACCACATGTGGGCTGTGAACACTGGCATCCCTGCAGAATTCGGGGTATTTGTCAACGATAAGGAGAAGGCCTTGATCGTCCCCACACGGTCCCTCGAAACAGCAGAAGGAGGGATGGAGGGGGGTGAATGGAAAGAAGTGAGGATGCTTCCGAGATCGGTGGGGAAGCAAATCAAATACGATTGGTCCCCGGCCTCTTTATAACAGCCCTGAATGTCTTTGTGGACAGTTCTCAGCCCTCCCCCCCGCCCACATTCTTCTCTCAAGACTAAACGTGCCCGGTTTTTAACCTTTCCTCACAGGTCAGGATTTCTAAACCTTTGGTCTTTTCTCTTGCTGTCCTCTGGACTCTTTCCAGTTTGTCCCCATCTCTCCTAAAGCGCGGTGCCCAGAACTGGACCATGTTCTCCAGCTGGGGCCTCCCCAGTGCCGAGCAGAGCAGGACAGTGACCTTCCGTGTCTCAGATACGACACACCCATTACTACACCCCAGAATGAGATCAGCCTTTTTTGGAACTGTATCACACTGTTGGCTCATATTCAACTTGTGATCTGCCATCACCCCCAGACCCTTTTCACTGGTATGACTGTCTAGCCAGTTATTCCCCATTTGGTAGTTGTGCCTTTGATTTTTTGCCTTCCTGTGTGTCGTAATTTCCACTTGTCTTGATTGAGTTTCATCTTGCTGAATTGAGACCAATTCTCCAATGTGTCAAGGTTGTTTTAAATGCTTCTCCTTCCCTCCCAAGTGCTCGCCACCCCTCCCAACTGGAAGTCATCTGCAAAGCACACTCTCCGCTCCATTACCCAAGTCATCTGTGAAAATATTGAATAGTACCAGACCCTGGACTGGCCCCGGGACCCCATTCGACACACCCTCTAAGTCTGAGAGCGAACCATTGATAACTACTCTTTGAGGAGGGTGTAGCGGGGCGGTTACCCCGCTCCTAGGGGAAAACGTTAAAGGCAGCTGAGGCAGGCGGCGTGGGGAGGCAGTCTCAGCTGTGGTCACACCCAATTAGGCCAGAGCTGGCCCTGATATAAGGGCTAAGGGAGGAGTTGGGTCAGTCTCACTCCAGCTAGGAGTGGGAAGGGCCTGGCTGCCTGGGAGCAGGGTATCTTGGGCAGAGCAGGGCTGGGGAAGGGCAAGAGGAGCTGGGGAGCTCCAGGCTGGCAACTCCCCAGGCTGAGGCCTTGTTAAAGGCCTAAGGATGTATTGGGGCGGGAGAGGTGCAGCCCTGGGATAGGCAGAGACAGCCGGTCCAACCCCCTTGCCAATGATGAGTGGTTTCCAGAGTGCAGTCTGCCCCAGGGAGTGGGGGGCTAGATGACGACTGGCAGTAGCCACTGAGGCAAGGTGGGCATCGAGGGTTGGGGGTTCCTCTGGGAGGGGAGACCCAGAGTGTGGGGGGGTGCTGCTGTGGGGCAGCGCCCCAAGGTAAGAGGGCACGAGAGTCCGGGAAAAGTCAGACCAAATCTCTCCGCTGGCTCTCCTACGTCTTCCTGGTTTGCCTGCCGCCCTGCCGGACTGTGGGACTCAATCGAATTGCTCTGGGATCAGCGGGCGACGTGTCCCCAGAAAGCTGATATTCTCTTACCAAAGGTCTCCGCTGATTGTGCTCTTGTCAAATTCACCCTTCCCATCACCCAATCGCTCGGCTAACCATATCGGGGACTCTCCAGGTACCAGGAATAGATCCAAGAATAAAACGTAAGCGGGCCTGGGGTGGGGGGAACTTGGTTAACGCTGGGTTAAGGCTGCCTGGTCATAGGTCCTGCCCTTGCAGAGCATCGAGTTCGGCAAAACACAAACGTCTGTAACACAGGAAATAGAAGGTTAAGGCAAAGGCCCCTGTAGCACCACTCTGCCCTCTCCCAGCGATGCTCCACAACGCCCCGGGGACACCTTCTCGCTCGCTGCCTTTTCAGGCAATGGACAGGGGCTCCCTGTACTGCCCCTACGTCCCTACACTCAGCTTCTCCCCCGACGTGTGGAAAATGTCACAGCCGCTTCGTGCCCTTTTCCGGCCCCTTCACATACTAACTCAGGAACCCACCCAACCCTCTACCTGCCAACTCCCCTGGGCCCTGCTGTGGACATGATCCACCCAATCGTGTATTGACACGTGTGACGAAGTTGGGGAGTTTTGTAGCGTTTTACATGACTAGCGTGTGCGCTCCTCGGTTTCCCTGTGTGCTGCATGTTTCACAAGGTGGTGGGAGAGGGTTTGTTGTTGCAGAGGACCAGGTGTGACCTCGCCTGGCAGCCGGGATCCCCGGACACCGGCCTGGAGATGGGGAACCCTAACAACTGGTGACCTGGTGACTAAGAGGCCCAGCCCAGCTTGGCCATCAGCTGGTTCCGGCCAGTGGGAGGACAATGGGCTGAAGAGAGAGGACCCCGGTGACCTGACCAGCCGGTTCCAGCTGGAGGGGAACAAAGAACTGAAGAGAGAGGGCCCCAGCGACCTGTTTACCTGGGACGGAAGATAAAGGACAGGGGAGGAGCTGTTGGGGCCGGTGATATCGGATGCCTCTCTGGGCGGGGAGGAGAGAGCAGCCAGATCCCACCTGGAGGCGGGACAGCCCTAGATGTGCTGTGCTGAGGGAGGCCAGGCCTGAGGCCCTGAGAGTTTCCTATGCTGGGTTCAGATGCTCAATAAACCCTCCTGTGTTACACTGGCTGAGAGTCGCTCCGGTCTAGAGATCAGGGCATAGGCGCTGACTCTGTGGGTGCTCCAGGGCTGGAGCACCCACCAGGAATAATTAGTGGGTGCTCTGCACTCACCGGCAGCCAAGATCCCCGCCCCACCTCACCTCCACCTCCGCCTCCTCCCCTGAGCGTGCCACGTCCCCACTCCTCAGCCTCCCTCCAAGCGCTTGCCGCCTCCAAACAGCTGTAGCAAGCTCCGGGAGGGAGCGGGAACGCAGCGCACTCAGGGGAGGAGGCAGGGAAGAGGTAGTGCCGGGGTGCAGATTTGGGGAAGGGGTTGGAATGGGGGCGGGAGGGGGTGAGGCAGGGGTGGAGTCAAGGTGGGGCCGGGGACAGAGAGGGGTAGAGCACCCACCAGTGCCAGTAGAAGTCTGCGCCTGTGGATCAGGGTTTCATTATTCCCTCTGGCCGTGGAGGCCCTGGGGGTCCAGCGCGAGTGGACTCCCTGTGGGAGCCCATGGGGAGAGACAGGTGTGCTAAGTCTCAGAGGTACAGTAGGCAGAGTGGCCTATGACTTAACCCGCGAGAGCGAGCGGACCCCCGAGAAGGGCTGTCGCTCTGAGGGGAGTTCCTCCCAGGGACCATGAGGAGCCGGGAGAGAATCATAGAATCATAGAAGTCCAGGACAACACGACGCAGATCGGACCCTCGTGGCATAGAGGGTTGGGGGGACTCAGCCCAGATCTCCCCATATCACAATCGCAGCCCCTACAGTCCAAGCCAAGAAGGGACCATTCGATCATCTCATCTGACGCCCCTGCATCACAACAGCCCCCCCACCCCCGAATTAATTCCTCGAGCCGACCTCTGAGAACAACATCCCATCTGGATTTATAAGTTGTCAGTGATGGAGAATCCACCACGCCCCATGGTAAATTGTCCCAATGGTTAATTATGCTCACCATTAAAAAATGACGCCTTCGCTCCAGGCTGAATTTGTCCGGCTTCAACTCCCAGCCATTGGATCACGTTAGACCTTCCTCAGCTTGGCTGGAGAGCCCATTGTCAAATATTTGTTCCCCAGCGTTTATACACTGGGATCAAGTCACCCTTTAATACCCTCTTTGTCAAATAGATGGAGGTCTTGGAGCTCTTCCAACACATCTCTCCACCATTCAGTGCAGCTCCAGTGAATGCCGCTGGAGTGCCATCGCCATGGGGACAGAGTGATGGCTGCCTTGGCATTTACCGTAACTCGGGATTTCCTGGTTTCCAGAAGGTTGGATTTTGCTGGGCTCGACACTCTGGAAGGACAAGAGCTATCAACGGGCAACCAAAACCCGGTGTTAACCAAGTTTTTTGCCCCCCTACCGTGAAGTTTCATCCTTGGATCTATTCCTGATACCCGGAGATAACCTGGGGACAAGGCGGCGTGGTTGCTTCGGTGACTGAAATATTAATCCTGCAAAAATGGAAAAGTCGATTGCCACTGAATAGTGATGCCCGGCT